CCCCCCCCCCCCCCGCCAACACGAAACACCACCCCCCAAAGAAAGCGAAAAAAAAAGAAAGATATCAAGGGGATTCTTCTGACCACCGCAGGGCCCCTTCTTTCTCTACATCTGTCTGTCCACCAACCCGCGTGCATGTCTCTCTCTGCCTCCCTCCCCTCCTCTCGTTCACTCGCACACACACAACCTCCTGATACGCCGGTGACAGTCCGACAAAACAGTCTGGCACAGCCATGTTTCTTTGCGAAACATGTTAAACTCATGATGTGGAGTGGAGCAACATGACAAACCCACGCACACATACAAAACACGAACAAGAAGATGGTGCCTGCCTCACCTTTTCTCTCCCATCTTTGCCATTGATATATCTCTATGCTCCTTCCTCTCCTCCTCCCTCCGTTTGTCCTTTACCCCCTCACCCTCCCCTCACCCTACCGCGACCAACGCACACATACAACACAAGAAAGAGAAAAGCGTGCCTGCCTCCCCTTTTTTGGCCCATATTTGCCCTTGATATCTCTATGCACCTTCCTCCCCTTACTCTCCTTGCGAGACTGTTGTGAAAGCAAGGAACGCTGTGCTACGTCATTTTCTAGTGGAGGAAATCCACCTCCGTCTGTGCTTTCCCCCTCTCCCTCGACGTTACACCTCTGTGGAGTCGAACCTTTACAAGCTAATCATCGCTAATGACCGTGGTGTAGAGAGCAGGGTTGGGGCCACGGGTGGACGCCCCCTGATTTGTTTTCACCTGTTTTCATTCTTTTCTTTGTCCGACCATCACGTGAAGAAGCTGCAATCTGTACAGAGTCTAACTCCTCCTCCCCGCTTCACGCTGATTTGTTTTGGTCGTAACATCCTGCATCACAACAGGGTTTCCACGCGGAAAGAAACGTTTCAGACTAAAGCTATTTCTCTCCTCCTTTCTCTCCTTAAGGACGACGTGGCTGCCTCTTTCCTTCTTGATTGAATTCGTCGGAGGGAGGGCTTCCAGATTCTTTTAAAAGCCGTCAATCAGGCCCCGCACACTGTCGTGAATTGCAAAGGAAATTCCTGCTGCAGGAAGGAGTTTGACGTGGTTGGCTCCCATTCCAGCGTACAGGGATTTCACCCCCTCTTCCCTGATGATGCGTTTGAAGGCATCGCGCAGGCCAGAGTAGTACAGGTCTCCGGCCCTTGAGCTGAGTGCAGACTGCAGCTGCAGACGCCTCTGCACCGTTTCCAAGGGATACAACAGCGTCTGCGCACAGAGCGCTGCAGCAGTGGCGCACAGAACCACACCCACTGGCCCTAGCTCGGTCTCCGACCGCCCGGCCTTCCTCCTCCTATAGCGATCCTCGAGAGATGTGAGGAGGTAACTGCTGAAGAGGATGTAGGGAACTGCTCGGAGAAGATGGGCACCAACGCCGTCGTACAAGCCCTTCACCCCCCTGTTCCTCACAATGGCCCTGGCAATACCAAGCACCTCCCTGCTCCCAGTTCGAGCCGCCGCTCCTCTACCAGCATTTTCTGTCACAATACGCCCAGCTGATGAGGCCACCGACTGGTTCGGCAGGGACTGAACTGCAACTCTAAGTGTATCTATAGGATAAGCAGCCAAGATTCCAGCAGCGGAAGCGAGTATACCCGCCGTGTTCCGCCGCAGTTCTCGCAATAGGTCGTACTTAGACTTGCTTTGCTTGTCGACTGCAACGCCTTCTCCTCCTCTGCCCCCCTCCCCCACCCTCCGGGCGGGAGCGTCCATTTCCATCTGACCTCCCACATGGCGATATCCTCCAGCATGAGCGGCAGCTGGGTTGGGGTCGAAACGGCCCCCAGATATCGCCTTGAACACGAGGGCCTCCACCGCCTTGGCAGGGAAGAGTCGCAGCACGTTGAGCACATTTCCCCTCCACAATCCTCTGTTCCCCCCCTCCCTCGCGCGTATTCCTCTCAAGATTGCAGGCATGCTCTCTCTCGCTGTGCGAGGATAAACCATCTGCAGGATCTTCACCCTTTCCAAGGGCGCGACCAGGGTTCGGGCCACGGCACCCGAGATGGACGCCGCCAGACTGTCCTTGGTCGTCAGCAACTCGGGAAATTGGCGAAGGTCCGCCCGACCCGCCGGCCCGCGGAAGGCAAGCGGCAGAGCGGCGTCCATATCGCCTCCGAAATCGATGGCAGCTCGAGCTCTAGTGTTTGACTCCAGAACCTCTCCCGCCTGGCTTACCCATACTAGGTAATTTCGCAGATCCTCCAGTCCCAACCCCTCCTCTGACCCCGGCTTGCCCAGCTTCTGTCGCTGTCGTACCGACCACTCGTTCTGATAGGCCGTTTTCGGCGGGATGTTGTACGTTCGTAGGACGTCGAGTACATCCTCCTTGGTTATACCGCCTCCTGCGCGGCTCTTCTGCAGTTTCCTGAAGGAGACGCATAGCCTCTGTTCCAACCCAGCGGCGAAGCAAGCGAACTTGTCAAACGTCACCGGGCCTGCGTTCCTTGCGAAATCCCGCACCTCCGTGGGAGAGGTAGGAAGCCCCAGCAACTCCGTGGCTCTCCTCACCTCCTCTTCGTCCAGCGCACCAGATCGGCGCTTGTCCAGCTCGTCGAACAGCTGCTTGAGAGGCGACCTGAGCTGATCGTTAACGTCATCAAGCCTTGTTCTGACGTCAGCGACGGGACGATAGATGCCACAGGCGCCCCCGCGAAACTTGGACCCACCGCGGAACAACGTTCCATGCGGACAACAGGGGAACCTCCTCGTGAATCCCACTTGGACAATCGGAGAGCCTTGGCGGACCACGGAATCCGTAAGCCCACGCAAGGTCGTCGATGACGAGCGCACGGTAAGACCTTCGCCATCGCTAACAGCTCCGCCCACCTCCGTACCTGTCTCCTCGAAACCGACAGAGAGTAACGGGTTGAACGCATAACCCTCAAACACAGAAGAATACCTCGCAAACGGAGTCAAATCCGTGTCGTCAACGTCAAGGCAGGTCCAAGGGAACAACTGCTTGCCAGCCCAGCCGATCTTAACGGCCGAAGACGAGTGAGGACCAGACTCCCGGGCGCTCGGCATAGCCATAGCCATAGCCTGTAAGGCCAAGACCCCTTCCGATTGCTGCAAACCCCGGCGGAGACAAACAGCCACAGCAACGCAATCACACGCCTCCAGTCGGTCTACAGCTTCGTCTCCTTTTCCTCCTCCTCCTCCTCCTCAACTTACACGATTATGGTATCTTCCAGTTAGCAAGCCGGCTGGTTACTTTTCCAGCTTGGTCCGGCAAGCCGTAGCCTAACGTTGAGTCCGTGTGGCGGCCGCCGTCCACGTGTACAGCAGGGAGCAGCGGCGTCAACGGCTACCCTCTATTTGGGATTCACTCAGCAACAACTGCAAAGCTCCTCACGCTCACCAATTCGACAAAGCACTGCGTGGTATATATATATTTATTCCACCAATATCTCACCAGCTGTCTACGGCTTGCGATGCCCATTGCCTAATCAATGGCCGCTGGGCGCTCTGCCGTCCTGATCGCTTCCGTTGTGTGTTGCTTGACTCACAAAGGGGCTCCCCAGACGACTCGCCAAACGGCAACATCGGGAAACTGACAGGCCCCACGTAATTCCCAACTTTTGTTCAGCTGGTTTGGATGGATTTGAACACAGGTCCGCATCTCAAGAGAATGAGAACACTAACTGAGCTAAGCGCGTGATCGACTTTTTTTTTTTTTTTTTTTACTCTTCTCTCAATTTTCCTCACACTACCTATCTACCACTACTCCTACCTATAGGCATACGGGGAAACCCGTAGCATACCAGAGCCGTGTTTTTACGGCCCCTCGAGCCTGCAGGATATGGCCAGGGGACGGCCGGTAGCACCAGGGATAAAGCCGACCAATCCCCCGTGCCTCCCCTCAGGCCCCTCCCCTACGAACATAGCAGACTCTGCTTGATGCCGATCGGGGCATCGAGTGGTCTATCTCTTGGGTAGCGGGTGCCAAGTAAGCCCAGGAAGGCACGAGGCCAATGGGGATTGAACCCATGACCTCCTGAATGCCACATCGAGTTTTTGTTGCCACATTATATTCTTCTCTGAAATTCTTTTTCGCCTTCTTTTTTGGGGGGCGGGTATATATGCCTAAATGATAATTGGCGAAATACCCCCATAAGGTGAGATATATGTTTTTTTTTTCTTTTTTTCTGAGAGAACATATCCATTTTACTATCAGGAAGACAGAAGAGGGCCGGGAATCCCTCACAAACAACCCGGTGAAAGAAAATTCTGGGGCCATTACCCAGCTTAGGCTCCTGGGAACCGGGCCCAGCGTCCCCTGACCTATGTGTTCCCCTAGACGAATACGGGGAGTACGTACGGCCCCCCAGGCGGTCGTACGGGCCGTATGTACGGGGCCTTCCCCAGGGGGTGGGTGGCATCTGAGGAGAGGGGCGGGTTGTGCATGTCGGGGGCTACCCCGCAAAGTTAAAAAAAAAGGGAAAAAAAAAAAGTTTGTTCGGGGGTTTGGGGGTGGTGGGGGTCGCGAAAAAAAAAAAAGATTGATTGATTGATTAATGAAAAAAATAATAAT